AAACAATGCGATATTTAATATCAAATAAAATTAAAATATATATATAATATATATATTATATATAATATATATATTCAATAATTCCGATCAAACAATGCGATATTCAATATCAAATAAAATTATCGATATCTTTTTGATATTATCAATAACAGAATATCGATATATACTAAAATATCAAGTATCAAAAGAATTATATCCATATTGTCGATATATCGATATCATATGCTCATCCCTACGTCACACTAAGTAATTTTTTTTTTTTTTTTTTTTCAATTCGTAGTCAAGTTGGTCCATACCCGTGGAACTGGTTATCGGACCGGACTTGGGTATATCTTACATGGCTCATCGGGTCGGAACAGTGGTGAGTTTTCCAGATTAAAAAACAAAAAAAAACTCTTCAGCCGAAAAGATTGCGCGCGATTTTCCGACGAAAACGCGTTGGTGTGTTTTGATTACAGCCGACGAGAATGGCCGAGTTCTCGCAGATACAGTCTATTCAGACGTTGGTGTCGGACTGCAAAGAGCACGCGAAAGCGTGCATTAAGTTGAGGGTAGCCGGCGCGGCGGAGACTCTCAGCATCACGTGTTCTAGTCTGGATCAGGCGGAGAGTCTCGCTGATCTGATCGACGGATACTGCAGGCTGGTTACGGGCAGCAACACCTCTTTGTGGAACAGAAAAGGTAAAGGGACGTTGTTGTTGTTGTTGTCGATTGACGCAAGAGACAAAAATGCAATAAAATTCCCGTCCGTCCCCGACTTACTGTTTGTAAAATTATTTGACACTTGTACCGTTAATGTTATTCACATATATATATATGTTACGTTTTTGTTTTTTCTTATTTTTTATTCGCACAAGCTGGATCGTGGAAGAATTATCCTTGTCCGTGCAAAGGTAAACAAAAACGAAGGATATATTGTCTTGCTTGAATGTTATGTCGTTTATGGTTTATTGGGTTTTGTTGCAACACGCGGTAATATATTGCGATTTTTATTTTACGATCACGATAGACGCGCAACCGCCGAAGTACAGACAAGACGGTGCGGGCAGTCCGGAACGTGGAGAAAAGAACGCGGGCAAAACCGGGACTATCTTGTCCGAGGATTATGCGGAGATTGTCGATGAAGAGGGAGATTATTCAACGCCAGCTAGTAAGCGTCTGTTTATCATACCGATGTGTGATAAATATTAATGTATCTTCTATATTTAAACTCGTTCGCAGAAATGTAAATTTAAAAGCAATTGAGTTTAAATTTTATTTCGTGTATTTTTTTTATGTTAATTAATTAATTTGTCCGCAGCTCGAGACTACGAGATAGTCCGAAATCAAGTGGAACTAGGGGAAATTATAGGAGAAGGTCAATTCGGTAACGTTCACAAGGGATCTTACAAGGGTAGGGACGGTCAGACCATCGCCGTTGCCGTTAAGACCTGCAAGGTCGACGCCGATCTCGCCACCGCCGAGAAGTTCCTCGAAGAAGCTTGTGCGTGTGTGAAAAAAAAAAAAAAATGTCTCTTTAATAAAAAAAAAATTTAAACATATTTCTATACAAGGTGTGTAATTTTATATCGGATTTTGTTTCAGATATTATGCAGCAGTTCGAGCATCCGCACATCATCAGGTTGATCGGAGTTTGTTCGGAGGCGCCGATTTGGCTCGTGATGGAATTGGCCAGACTCGGAGAGATGCGCGCTTATCTACAGTCAAACAAACATCGTTTAGATCTCGCCACACTTTTGTTGTACACCTTCCAATTGAGCACTGCCTTGTCGTACCTTGAAAGCAAGAAATTTGTACACAGGTAAAACTATAACAAAGTCGGTTTGTTGTTCGTTGCACTCTCGGACGTTGCACATTGCGGTCATTAATGGTCCTTATTTTGCAGAGACATCGCTGCGAGAAACGTGCTGGTCTCGTCGCACACCTGCGTCAAATTAGCGGATTTTGGCCTTAGCAGATGGGTGGAGGATCAAAGTTATTACACCGCGAGCAAGTGTAAACTGCCAATCAAGTGGATGGCGCCGGAGAGTATAAACTTTCGAAGATTCACCACTTCGTCTGACGTTTGGATGTTCGGTTAGCATCTTGACATTTTTGTTTTATCGAGATTTTATACATTTTTTTCATAAAATGCGTGAAACATAAATTTATTGTTTCAGGTGTGTGCATGTGGGAGATTTTAATGTTAGGCGTAAAACCATTCCAAGGTGTGAAGAATAACGAAGTGATACGCAAGCTTGAGAACGGAGAAAGACTCGCGCTTCCGAATCATTGCCCGCCGCGATTGTACTCCCTGATGTCTCTGTGCTGGAGTTACGAGCCCAGCAAGAGACCGACGTTCAAGGAGATTAGAGAAACTTTGCAGTGAGTAATTTAAAAAAACTTTATATTCTGCGAAACTGTAATCGGACATCTCCGTTTTTTTTTTATGTGTCTTATTAAATAATTGTTAAATTATAGCGAGATTTTGTTGGAAGAAAAGCATCAGCAGCAAGAAACTATGAGACGAGAAAACAGAAGAGTGCAAGCCATGTCCTGGGGTACGTTGCTATCTACTCCCGAGTAGTTTTACATCAAGATATATGTTGTTACAACAAATATACATACGTTTTTAATCATTGTCGATAGTTTTTAACAAAAAAAAAAAACAAACTAACTTACCTTGCACAGGTACAGACGATGTGCCGCCACCGAAGCCTTCCCGGCAGCCGCAAAACACGACGGAGCAATCACTGCTGTCCGCAGCGCCGGTCTCCACGTACATCGTAGCGCAGAGTCCCGAGGTTCTCGCGCAACTTCTCAAGGACAATCAAGCCAGAGGGGTATGTCCCTCCGTGTACACAACACCCGCGTCTCCTTTCAACACGCTTGCGGTACAGTTCCAGGACGAGGATCAGGTTCTGACCACCGCCCTCGTGTCCGATCTGCCCTTTTTCGATCCCGCGCTTTCCGAACCGCCGTCCCTCGTCATGCACGACACCAATCAGTCGGGCGGCGATTCCATTATGTCCGATGCCACTCTAGACTCCCTCGATTCCAACGACACTCCTCTCATGTCGAGCCTCAGCATTTCAGACACGGCAGCGCAGACCCAGTCGCCCGCCGTCAACCGAAAGCAGCAGAAGGTTAAAGAGATGCAAAACTTGTACGCGGTTAGCTCGAAGGTGATGAGTAACGTAACCGGGGGGGATCTGTACTCCCCAGTGCAGAAATTCTCCGTGTCCAACGCCGTGTCGATGTCTACCGCGGCCGCGCCCGCCACGGTTGCAGGCGGCGAGATATACGGACCGGTCGCTAGTTTCACCCAGAGTTCAGCTATTGTTGGTAATCTTAGTCAGAGCGCTAGTATAGGCGGTAATTACGGCGAAAATCCCGGGAACTTCGGTCCTAGTAGTTTGACCGGAAGCGTAATAATATCAGATAGCAATAGTCAAACGCAATTATTCACTGGGGGTAGCTCGCACGCTCAAAGCCAACCGATTAATCATGGTAACTTTGCGTCTACTAACAATACAAGCCAGGTGTTTGCTAGTGGTGGTGGTGGTGGTGGTGGTGGTGGTGGTGGTGCTGGTGGAGGTGGTGCTGCTGCTGCTGCTGCTGTTCAGAATGCAAATAGCGCGCAAAGTGCTGGCGTTAGTGGTGGTAGCGGTAACGTTGTTTACGCTCGCAACGTCAGCTCGACGAATCCCGCTGGTACCGCGTCCAACGCGGAATGTTTGTACGGTCCGGTTCTCAAGTTCCGCGCGCAAACTGCTCAGCAGCCACAGACCGCGGTATCAACCGATTTGAAGACCGCCAACGCGATGGCCGGATTTTACGGCCAAGCTGGCAGAAACAATCTGCCTGCTGTGGTTCAAAATATACAATCGCAACCGATGTATCCGCAAAATTACCCGCATCAACAGATCTACTCGAACATCGCTCAGCCGGGACAGGCCATGTACGTGTCGCAGATGCAACACGTGCAGAACGTCGCGCGACAAAACGCCGTATCCCAAGCCGTGACCTACGCGGTCATACACCATACGAGTCAGCAGCAGTCTCAATCGAGTAGCGTGAATCCGATTTACACAGCTCACGCGACTTCGGTGTCGGTGGTTCAAGCGCAAAAGGTGCACGTTCCGAATTACGCTCAGCAGCAGGCTCAGTCTGCGATCGGCAGCCAGTCGATGATGTGCCAGGTAACCGGCGCGAATCAAGCGGCGAGTGTCGGAGTTATACAAGCCTCCGTTCCGTCACAGCACTTTGTCACAGCGTCTTCCGCGATTCAGCAGCAGAATATTCATACGACCGGTTACATAACGGACCAGCAACAACCGAGTTCTCTTCGTCCGTTAGATCAGGTGCACGTCGGCAATATAATGACAAACGTTGCCGGTGCGCATCAGCAACAGCAACAGCAGCAGCCTCAGATGGCCAGTAGTGTCGCGAAGACAGGAAACATGCCGCAAATGGTGACGGGCGTCGCTAAGATCACCATGTTCACGACGCCCCAAAAGCAAGAAGAACAGTTGACGAGCTCGACAGACGGCACTCTCTCCGGCTCGCTCATCTCTTCCGCAGTTAGCGACAGCACCATGTCGTCTAGTAGCTCAATGACGGAGGAGGCACAACAAGATCAGGTTTGACCATGCCTCCTAGGAATGTGAAAACAAAAACGCATCTTTATAATACATATATTATTTGCAACGTCACATCTTGGTTTGGTTTTGTTTACCTGGTCCGCGACACTTCCGCAACACATTGCACCTAAGTTACAAGTTGGTTGTACCTATATATGTGCTTGTGTATACATACATAAATTAAATTTTCTTCACTTTGTTGCGATGTATGTATTAATCGAGTAAAAAAATACTCTTTTTTATGTTTAGCGAACATTTCTTTTCTCTCTCTCACCGAGTAGGCTATAAATAATGTTTGCATGAAGAATGGATGTCGCTGATGTATATTTGCTACAGTAATCGAATTTTAAATTGCATGTAGCGAGTAAAAACAAAAAAAAAAAAAAAAGGAATTGCACCACCTCTTTGTTTTTAAATTTATTTGCATCTCAAGAAATATGCATCTCTTTAATTTTTACTGTACATATACATACACGCGGTATATATACATATATGACGTTTACATATATTTTTGTACATTTATATATATAAATTATTGTATAAAACAAACTTAGTTATTTATATTTTTATGGACGTTTTATTTATATTTGGCGATAAAGAATCGGAATGTAGAATTCTAATGTAATATTGGGATTTTTTTATGTTTGTTATTTATAGAGGAACATGCATTCGCAGTTGTTCGACAATCCAACGTCTGACAATTTCAACAGTGGCATTGACGACGAGCAGAAGTTGCTGGAGCAACGGTTATTGGAGCAGCAACGCCAGTCCGAAGAAGACAGTCGTTGGCTCGCGAGAGAAGAGGTACGTGGTCGAATTTTGCTCACTTTCAAAGTTTTTTTTGCTTTGCATTACATCGTTTATTTGTTACTATATATATTTTCAATTATTTTGGTTTTTTCTTTTGTCACGTCAAACAGAAACGTCTGTCGATCGCAACGAGCGGCGATGAAAGCGCTAGTCCCCCGGTTCCGCGATCGGTTACGCAGTCACCGAGTCACGAAGCTCACTCCGCCAATACCGGCTCTCTCGGTTCTGACAAGAGTTCCGAGAAGATAATTGTAGTAAAGGTAGATGCAACTGTTTTTTTTTTTTTTTTAAATCTCAAGTACCACGCAAATGAATCGAGTTGACTGATGATGAATTTTTATTTCTCCTTCGCAGAAAATGGAACCTACACCCACCGCGGATTTGGACAGAACCAACGATAAAGTATATGACTGCACGACGAGTGTTGTTCGCGCAATTATGTCACTGTCACAAGGTGAGAATTATAAAATCGAAAATTTAGAAAAATTCTAAAATTTATAAGAAGAACAATTAGGGGTAAGAGATACAGTGATTGGCCACTTAAGGAAAACTGCACTATATATAGAGTGAATTATAAAATTAAATTTAATAACTTAAAGTAAATCTTCAGTATTACTAGCTCAAACAAACTATAACAATTGCAAATAAAATAATAAATTTATTAGAAAATTTGAAAAAGTATTCAAAATTTGATAAAATATTTCCTATAGTCAAAATAGACAGTTATTGGCCATATGAGTTCTGTTAGTATCTGTTTACATAAAAGTTAACATAATAAATTTTTTGTTTTGACTTATGAAGATATATAGTAATGAATATTTTATTTATAACACATTAAAAACTAATAAACCTACTTACATTTGTATCCTATAACTCAAAATAAGAGGCCAATGACTGTCACATGGTTTTCAAAACCTTAAAAACAGTGATTGGCCGGTTGGCCAATGTTTGTCGTATAACAATAAGTTTTTTAAGCTTTTTAAATACTATAATATTACTTTTATTCGGAGCAGAAGAACTTAATTAATATTAAAATGTTTATAATTTAGAATATAATAGTAGTATTTATTTATATTTATTAATTCTTTAATACATGGCCAATTACTGTTGGGAGGCCAATAACTGTACTGTTTACCCCTATTAGGAAAAATTTACACAATAATACATATTGCGCAAAATATTAATTGCAGGTGTTCAACAGAGCAAGGCTGATCAGTATTTAGAACTAGTACGTAGAGTAGGTATCGAATTAAGATCATTACTGTCTTCTGTGGATGTTCTCGTGGAGATATTGCCGATATCCGCGCATCGCGAGGTCGAGATGGCGCATAAGGTGTTAAGCAAGGATATGGCGGAACTCGTGACCGCCATGAAACTGGCGCAAAATTACAGCGCCACCACATTGGACGCTGAATACCGAAAGTAATTTGTCTTTTTTTTTTTTTTTTGTTGATTAATTTTTGTTTTCGAATATGCGTCGCGAGGAATTTCAAAATTGTGTGACGGTTTCTTTCAGGGGAATGCTTTCTGCGGCTCATATATTGGCAATGGACGCAAAGAATCTCTTGGACGTGATCGACTCGATTCGTATACGTTATCCGTACGTGGACAGTCAGATTTGCCAACGGCAGAGCGACGTGAGCAGAACGCGAGAATCTACGCCCGAGAATCGCATTCGTTCGAGTCAATCGGGAGAGCACTTTCTAAGGAGAAGTCAGTCGACCGAACGACAAGAAACGACCTTCAGACAAAGCCAAAGCGGTGACCTGCTCCACAGAATGGGTCAGTCGGCGGATCGATCTTCGCAAGTAAGAATCAAATCACGTCGTTAAAAAATTATTGAAACTCTTTAAAATTCACGCAAACTTTTGTGCAGGGACTTATTACCGGTATTATACTAGAGATTGTATACCGTTACCGTTATAGTACCGAAAACCGTAATAAAATACCGGTATTATTTCGGTATTCCTACTAATGGTATTCTGAAAAATTAGATAAGTTAATTAAAGCAATTTTTGTTGCATAATTAATCTTCCTACCGCTTATTGGATACTTATAGACCGACAAAATATAAAGACGCTTTTTTTTTATAAACCAATTGAAGCAGCTGTTTATTCATGCTTTCTTTTATTACGTAGCATTTACTAAATGTAAAGTGAAATTTTTAAACAAATTTGGATATTGATAAATATGTCTATGTGTATTTTGTTACTGTTCTTAATTATATTAATTATTGTTACTGTTCTTAATTATATTAAAAAATAATAATAATTTAAATAATATTAAGTTTCTGTGCGGCAGTTTTTTTATAAACATTATATTATTAAAAAGTATTATCAACATAATGACAACACTTATAGTTTTAAGATATTACTTTTTAAAAATCACGAAAAAATTATCGGTAAATATAATATGGGTAAATATACCGGTATGACGTCATACCGGTATTTCTGCATTTCGGTTCTGCATAAGGGTTTTCATAGTATTACCCAAAAATATCGGTATTTTGCATACCGGTATATAAGTCCCTGCTTTTGTGCAAAACCGTTTCTAAACCGTTTTTTTTTTATGATTAACAAATTAAAATAGAGATACAATTTAAAGATTGTGCGTGTAAACGCATTACAGGGAAGTCTGTCCGACCTCAGCAGCAGCTTGGAGAGAAGACACAACATGGTAACCAACAGTCTCGAACGTAACTCAACAGCGAGGCGACAAATGGTCACCAACAGTCTCGAAAGGAAGAGACCCTCATTGACCTGTAGCCCGGGACCTATGAATAATTCCGTTAATTTGCCGCCGATGGTGCCGGTAACTTGCAATTTGGTTCAGACCGCGAGTCCCGTTATACATCCGAGCCAGTCGGTTTCCACGGGTGTCAATCAGCAAACGGTGTTTGCAACCAACAGCAAAGCCACGTGCGAGACCCCGACAACAAATGACAGCTAACAATGAGGTGCCTTGAACTGAGGTAAAATGACGATTTTCGTCATTTATTTTCTCGCTACAAAAAAAACAAAACAAAAAAAAGTGTGCGAGTAACAATATAATTGTTTGTTTTTTTTTTTTTTAAACGTACCGATTCCAGGACTACTTCGGAGAGATTACCCCGCTTGTGTACATAGAACAACATCCTATCAAGTTACCCGTGTATACACCTACACGAATACATCAACAATCTGAGATCTGGTATTTGTGTGCTTTTTAGCTCTTTTTAAACATTCAAACACGCAGACACTTTATATATATACATATATCTAAGCGTACTTATAGATAGGACAGTATTCATTAGTTTGTAGCGGCAATAGGAGGATTTATGAGAGTCACAGCTATAACATAAAATAAAAACCACAACTCCAAAGCTTTAGGATTACTATTTGTTACGCGCGTAATAAGAGAGGAAAGACGCCAGAGTTTTTACGGTTTTGTGTCCGCAACTGTAGATGATAATACGTAAGGTACGTTTTTACATTCGTCAATATTACTTAAGTGTGAGAAAAAAAAAAAAAAAAAGATTTTATTTTTTATTTTCGTTGTTCGATATTTTTTGCTTCGAAACTGCGATGTGAAATTTTTTTGCGCTCTTAAGCAAATTTTGATATTTCTGTCATCTTGAATCGTCGGCTGACACGCGATTGCGATTTTAGATAATTGCGTATTATTATAAAATTGTGTACGTTCACGAACACGCGCGCAATATTGTTTTTCCGTTCGGAAAAAAAAATATTGTGCGCGCACGTAAGGATTTTTTGTTTTTTTGTTTTTTTTTTAGATCGTAACCCGACAACGTTGGTTTTTTTTTACCGCGAGTTCGCAAATTTATATAGTCTATTTCTTGAAACGTGTAGAAGTGCTGCGGCAAGTTATAGTGTAAAAAAAAAAAAAAAAAACAAAAAACAAAAAAAAACCATGGACTGAATGTTATTTCTATTATAGATAATTATTTAAACAATTCACACCGGTTTGCAAGATTCACACGATTTGTACAAGAGATGTTTTTTATATAAAAAAAAAAAAAAAAAAAGGAAAAAGCGCGACAACCATTTTTCAACACACACGGCGAGTCAGTTCCTAACAAAATATTTTTATCCTTTTTGCATAAGAGAGTAGCTGAAGTATTCTTAGTAGCCGATTGACGCAGTTTTTGCAGCGATATATGTGCATTTCTACAAAAAATCCTCGAGATCTATCACTTCACGAAAGTGAATGAATTCAATATATATATATATATATAGTTGATAAAAGCAAATATATAATATTCCATTTCGCACATATCTCTTTGCGTTCCTGGGGGAAAAAGAAAATTCCATCTGTACACGCAAGATAGACGTTCTCGTCATTCTGAAACGTTTATAATCGCTGTATCTCTCTACACACGCGTGTATTGTCGTAATTGGCATGTGAGAATACGTATTACAAGATCTTTCATATAGTTTGTAAATTGTAAATTTGATATCCTTAAAAAAAGAAAAAACAAAAAAAAAGACGGTATGTGGCTTTAAAAAGATTCATGTGCCAAGACATGCTTATATACGCTCGAGGAAAAAGTATAATAATAACAATAATAATATATGTATGTTGTAAATCTATCGATAAACAAAGAAGGAGTTGCTTAATAATCCCAGGAACTCGTAAATGAGTGTTTATACAATTTATTGGCATTAACTGGCTTTCCAAAAATACGTGGAAAGATGCTTCTTCACACACAATTCACACATCGGAAAACGCAACTCTCGTCACGCAACTGAGATGTGTTTTTGCTCAGAAAAAAAACACTAATGTTATTAATCAACGACCTAACCATTTTCTATAGAACTTTTCTCTCTTTTTTTTTTTTTTTTTATCACTTTTGCTGCGAATCGAATTTAAAATGCACTAGCGAAAATAATTTTAGAACATTTACAATAGCGTAACGTAATACATATACAATCGTAACTATTTATTTGATAAAAAAAAAGAAGTGTAGCGTGTGTTACGAGAAGAATTGATAAGAACCCTTTCACCGTTCAATACAAAATCTTATTTATCTCGTTCCATCATTTTTGCAAAAATATTTTATAATAGAATTTTTGTACCTTTATCCAGATTTCTTGATGTCACGTTCATAAACGAATTGTATTGTTCTCTCTGTCATCGTGTCGACATGTGTACAAGTATTTAATTTCATTATTTCTCTCTCATACACGTACGATTCACGGCGACGTTATATTCGACATATGTAGATTAAATAAAAAAAAAAAAACAAAAAAAAATCTAAATTATTTACTCAATTATATACTGTTGACAAATGTTATATTTATATAAATATAAATATATATATATATATATAACGTCAGATATTAAATGACAAATTTGATTTCGGTAATAGCAAAATGCTTTTACTGCGATTCTCATATAGTCATCGACGTGAAAGCTATTTGTGGCTAATAAAGTCGACGAGTATATTCTCTAACATTTAAGTCTTTTTCGTGTGGGTGAATGAGCGAGACGATAATAAATGTGTCACCGTTACATCAGCGAGGCAAAGAGGTAAAAAGACGATAAAAAAAAAAGAAAAATAATAATAAATCATATGTAACTTCTCATTTTCTCTTAAAAAAAAAATATTTATAAACTTGTGTAAATGTAACTGTATGTATCACGATCACATGCAAAATAAACTGCGCAAATGATATTTCTCAATATTAACAAACACCTTCGAAATCGCTCTGTAACGAAAGATGAAAAAAATTCGAATGTATGTTAAATCACCTGTCACTTGCCGTGTTTCGCACCGTAATACTTCACCCCGTTTTTGGTCGAACTTCTGGCGTACTTGGTCAGAAGCGCGTTAACAGTGACATTGCCTTTCGTGAAACGACTGAAATGATTATTTAAGATTGAAACAAGTATTTTTTTTCTGTTCTATTTTAACATTGAATTAAAGAACAATTTTCTGTTTTATTTTTTTTACTTACACAATATAAGGCGTTATCTCCTCGACGGTCCACTTGTCCTTGTATCGGAACAATTCGTTGAGCCTGTCGTGAATGTTGTTGGGCAAGTCGTCTTCCGGACACGACACGATCTCTTTCCGCATCCTCGAACTGTTGTATATCACGAGAGCCAATCCGCACAAATATTCCTCTCTCGGCTCCATCTCTACGCGAGATCGCAAAATATAAAAAAAAACAGTTTTCTCTTCAACAACGCACAAGTATCGCAGATACTTTCTTACGAACTTTCGGGACACCCGATCTTCCACGATTCCATGAATTCTCTGTAGTCGGTGCGGGGCGAAGCGGCGAGAAGAATTTTTGCTATCATCGTGCAGCATTTTCTTTCGTCGTATCTGTTGTGGATTGAGAAAAATTGTTGAATTTTATAAAATTTTTACATTTCTATTGATTCTTCTGATTACAACGGTAGATGCTACTGTTAATACGCGATTCCTACTTGTACAAGGATCTACCGTCAGTCTTTGTTTTTGCGCTTCTTTCTGTGTATGTTTCAAATATAACATCGAACACCGGTTCGTAAATCAGCTCCCTTAGACATTCGTACGTTTCTTCTTTGTCCACCTCGTCGATCTCCCAAGATTGTTCTCCGAAATAATCCAGCATCAGATTCAGACTTCGTGCTTCCACTTCGAATGATATCAGACGCAAGTAGCCTCAAGTACATAGAAAGAGCGAAGAGTTTAAACATTTATAAAAAACAAAAAATAGAAAATGATTCATCGTACAAAGCGCAATATTTTTTTTACCATTTATGTCGGCTATTAAGAAATTCGTCAGAGCCTGTTTCAATTCGTGATCGCTGGTCTGCAGCTCGCTTTGCAATCTTTCCCAATTGTACAGTGTCGTAGGGTCTACTGTGGATTCGTACTCCAATCCGTTGAAAGCGGACGAATTCAGGAGAGCTGGCAGATTTGCCAGATTAGGTTTGGTTTCTCTCACCTTGAATATTTAAATAAAGGGTGCGTTCAGACACAACTCAACGGTTGAGAGATCATCACTTATGATAGAACTATTCTTCAAAATCTGCTGCGATTCCAAAAGTATGATCCAATCAGAAGTGATTGTCTCTCAACCGTTGTGCAACTGTTGAGTTGTCTGAACGCACCCCCAAATAAACAAATTTGTTCGCACAAGTTTTTTTTTTTGAACAAGTATGACTTTTTAAGGCCCCTTGAATTTCATAACAAGAAATATATGAGGCCTTACGAGCCATTTGTAAGATGTTTCTACAAACAGAAACTGTACGTGTATATACACGCACATGTAACAATTTTCAACTTGTAAATTTTTACAAGTGAGTGTTTTTTGAGTTGAAAACTCAAATCTTAAATTCACATATGGGATGCTGGATTTGCATCTCACATATGACAGACCCCGGATACCCCCTAACTAATTTAAAACAATTTTTTTTTTAATACTTTCTCTCATTCAAATCACTTGACTTTGCTTCAAATACCTCGTAATACGAGTTAAATATCTTCGTGATGGTTTTATTATCCACAATTCTCTCATTTGCTTTCTGTTTGCTCGTTGATTGACTTAGTTTCAAGTTTGGCACAAGCAGCCAAGAATTCGATATCTCCGCTTCCTTGACCTCGTACGTGCGATTGCTCGTGCACAATATAGCTTCGTCTTGTTTGGTACCGCGAAACGACACTCTGTTGTCATAAAATAAATTTGCGTATCATCAAATTCTCCATTCCGCGGAGAATGGGGAATTGCGTTTGTTAGTTAGCTCGGGACAGATTCTGTACTAAACTCTCCGTCTATCTAATTCGGAAACTACGTACGCGTCTCCTTCGTTCAGCTCTTTCAATATGTGCTCGTTCACCTCCAGCAACATCAAGCTGTCAGGCATCTGCGCCGCTGAGTACAAGCTTTGCGTGACGATATTTAAATCGGTCTCCTTGATAGCAGCCAGTTCCAAACACTGGCGCACGTCCTCCATTGTGCGGACGTCCCTTGACAAAAAAAAAAACAAGAACTTAAACAATTAAAATTTTCTTGCCGCACGCGTTTATTTATTTACCTTTCGTCTTCGCACTCCATGTTTAAACTTTCCATGTTTCAAAGGTCCAAATTCATAGTCGTTTCCCAAATCTTTTAAGCCTATGTCACACTAGGGATTAGAATTGAGATTGGATTGCAATTTGGCCAATCAGAGCAAAGATCACTAAACTTGGGATTGGTTTTCTTTTTTCTGATTGGTCAAATTTCAATCCAATCTCAATCCCAATCCGTAGTGTGACATAGGCTTTAGATCTCGTCTCCAATCTCAAATTTCAGTGTAGTTGCTTATCATGATATTTAGTTTTTCATGACTGAGCAAGAATATAGAACCTTCTATCCTAGAATGGCGTATGGACTTAACTTAACTCGGTTCACTGAGCCAATTTTGCACCAAACCATATAGGGCCTTCTACAATAAGATATTAGTAATAAGTCAGAAGCAAGAAATTGACCAATTACAGTTAAATCACAGAAGAATAATCGATTGTGATTAGTCAATTTCTTGCTCCTGACTCCTGATTTATTACTAATATCTTATTGTAGAAGGCCCTATATTCTTGCTCAGTCATGAAAAACTAAATATCATGATTAGCAACTACACTGAAATTTGAGATTGGAGATTCGAGATATGAGAGCTGAAATTTGAGATTGGAGACGAGATCTAAGATTTGAGAAGCGACTATGAATTCGGGCCTAAATCTCGTAAATATCTTCTTTTGAGACCTTTGTTTTTCACACATTTGCTCCACATTCGAGAAGAACGAGTCGAGAGCGGCAAAAGATAGCAATTGGGTGCGTTCAGACAGCTCAACAGTTGTACAATGATTGAGAGATAATTACTTATAACTGGATCATACTTTTAGAACCTAAACAGATTTTGAGGAATAGTCCTATCATAAGTGATGATCTCTCAACCGTTGCGTTTTTTGAACGCACCCATTAGGTGCGTTCGGACAACTCGACAGTTGCACAACGATTGAGAGATAATCACTTCTGATTGGATCATACTTTTGGAACCGTTGCAGATTTTGAGGAATAGTCCTATCATAAATGATAATCTCTCAACCGTTGAGTTGTCCGAACGCATCCAATGGGTGCGTTCAGCAGCTCAACAGTTGCACAACGGTTGAGAGATAATCACTTCTGATTGGATCATACTTTTAGAACCAAAACAGATTTTGAGGAATAGTCCTATCACAAGTAATGATCTCTCAACCGTTGCGTTTTCTGAACGCACCCATTGGGTGCGTTCGGACAACTCGACAGTTGCACAACGGTTGAGAGATAATCACTTCTGATTGGATCATACTTTTGGAACCGTTGCAGATTTTGAAGAATAGTCCTATCATAAGTGATGATCTCTCAACCGTTGCGTTTTCTGAACACACCCATTGTTATCCACCGCGTATCGCCAGATGTCGTCGCGGTCCGCAAGTAGTCAGAAATGCCAATCGAATGGAAAAAACACTTTGCTTCCGGATTGGCACCCGTGAAGGAAAACGAATTCGATTGGACGATCTCGCCGGATGTGAGAACGTTTTCCGATTGGCCGTTGTAGCGCGTGGTGCGGCCCCGTTCGCCCATTCGACGTCGGGCAATTTGTAAATATACATTCTTTTATTACATAATATTTTTCGGTGAAATAACCGGCGAAAAATCGGAGCGAAAAAAAATCGGAAAAATCGGCCGCTTCGCGTTAACGGCAATTAAATATAAAGGTAAAAAGAGCGCGCCAGGCGTTGGAGCGGCCACGCGGGATCACGATTTCCGGCGAGTTTCCAGAAGCGCGGAATGGCGTTGAGATCGATTTGCCGGTTGTCAATTGATTCGACCTTCGGGCGGTCGAGCCATTTCGCAGCCACCGCCCGCCCGAGTAGACCGTCCTTCGTCACGCTCGCACGAGAGTTCGCCTCAGCTGCAAAAAACATGGCACTGCCACGCGTTTTCTTCGATATGACCGCGGACGACAAGCCCGTCGGTCGCATCGTGATGGAGGTGAGCGGAAAAATTAGCGTATAGGTTTGCGTTTTAGGAACGGGATCGATTCCGTGGCATCGAATCGCGGGCACGTTATCCGCGAGTCCGCCGACCATGCCTGGCCATCTTGATTTTCCCTACCCGGGGGGGTCCGGTATAATTCTTGCGAATCACCCGGGATCTTGTTTCGTTCGACGACGACGACGACGAATCAACGATTGTCGAATAAATTTGTTGAACAATCGTCGCGCGCGATGAGACAAAAACAACAGATTTTGCGTTTGTCGTTGGACAAAACGCGATCTCGCGGTAATTTGTAATAAGTGCCACCGGGGGGGTTTTTGTTACCTGCACATTCGTTTTTGCGATGCGTCATGGTCGAGCGAACCCCGCTCGCGGCACGCGCTCTCTGTGGCCATCACGTAATTTTCCATTGACCTTATGGGAACACCGGCCGGCGTGTTCGGCGACAAAACTTCGCCCCGAGAAACGTGTAAAATTCTTCGTTCGCGGCTCGAACAGAAATTCACACGTGATTTCGGAAAAACGAAAACCTTGTTTCGAGAAAAACTTTGGCAAGATTGTTAGATAACGCGTTGTTGTTCGATAAGGAACAAGGAAGTGAAAAACACGGAAACGTTACAACGCGTTTCCTGATGATCGTTTTCGCGATAAAGTAATTTTGTACACCTGCGAGTTTTATTGTTGTCAAAGATAATAGATTGATAGTAGGAGATTTACGCACACGAGTACGTTAAACAAATTTGCACATGTATACGATAATTTGTTTTATATGTAGAAAAAAAAAGTTGCTTAATATCTTTTAAATTACTTTAATATTTTTTGTGATTAAGTATGTATTCATAAATATAGTTTGTTATAAACTAACGCACTTATACTAACATTTACCGCGAGATCTGTCAAAGAATGTACTGTAATTCTCAAGGTTGTGATAATGAATCTGTTTTAATGTGTCATGTATTATTGCGGTGTCTTATGCAACACACACGTTCTCATTCTTGCGTCTTCTAAGATAACAGTTTGATTACTGAAACAATTTGTGTAGCACGTACAAAGTAAGTAGAAAGTATATTTATTTATTTATTTATTCTCTCTGGTTTTCAGTTGAGGAAAGATGTTGTTCCCAAGACGGCGGAAAACTTCCGTGCCCTGTGCACCGGAGAAAAGGGTTTCGGTTACAAGGGTAGCAGCTTCCACAGGGTGATTCCCAATTTTATGTGCCAGGGTGGTGATTTTACCAACCACAACGGTACCGGTGGCAAATCTATTTATGGGACCAGGTTTGAAGATGAAAACTTCAAGCTGACTCATACCGAGCCTGGCATTCTCTCTATGGCCAATGCCGGACCCAACACCAACGGCAGCCAGTTCTTTATCACGAGTGCCAAAACCAGTTGGCTCGATGGAAAACACGTTGTATTTGGCAAGGTTGTTGAAGGAATGGATGTAGTTAGAAAGGTATGTTTCTGTATTTTTTTTTAGTACTTTAACTGTGTCAGGTATTTTATTTTTTTTTTTGTGTAAAAAATTCTTAGATATTATTTCTTACATTCGAAGGAATTGAGCGATAATTTTTCCTTGTTTTTTTTTCTTTTTCAGTTGGAAGCGATGGGTTCTCAGAGCGGCAAGACTTCCAAAAAGATCATAATAGCGAACTGTGGAGAGTTGTAGATCGATTAGACACCATAATAACTTGCATTTTTTATTTAGCTGTTGCATAACTACTTGCTGTCTTTATTGCCCTTCATTACCATTGGTCACACAATTCTCTTGTCTCGAAGCTGACAATGCGTTTTTTCCGATTGCGTACGGAGACGAAAAATTTGGACACGACGAAGGCGACAAAAAAAAAAAAAAAACAAAGTAATAAAACCTGCATTGATACTCTTGTTTCCTTAAGACGAGATGTGAACAAAAAAAAAAAAAATAATAATGTTACAGTTTTTCTATTTGAAGGACGTTTTCTACTTTTTTTTTTTTTTTTTTTTTTTAATCAGGGAAATAGCGTTTACAGTGTGCGATTGTAAATTAGTTTTTTTTTTTTTCTAAGATCTACAGACTTAGCACAACTCGCGTATGTTCTTTCTCGCTTTGTTGCTACAAGCCAGTAATATTCGTGCGTTTCCTTGTAAATCCATATTCTTCCACGAATACACTCGCTTCGTATCGCTGAGTGATGGCAAGATGAAGACAAAAAAAAAAAAAAAATAATAAAAAGACATGCAATGAGCTCAAATTTCTCCGTACCAACCTTCGTACCTTTAGTGAGTGTTAAAAATACAAAAAAGGATCTTCAATACCAGATAGACACATTCTAGGAGTCTTTAAAGTCGATTTAATTAATTCCAGTGTGTTTTTAACTGATGCATTTCTCTCTTCGGCGTTTTTGTATTGTGCATTTTTGAAACATTGATATATACGTACACATCATCAAATTAGATGAATCCTCATTGTATGTTTTTTATAAATGTACACCGTATTTCATTTACCGAGTAAAGAAAGTAAAAAAAAGAAAAAACAACAAAAAAAAAAAAACCGTGTTTGCTTGTCATAAAATAATGCAGTTGATGCATGAGAACGATTAATATCTTACTCTGTAATACGACACCGATCATGTTGAAAATTTATATAGTTGCAACAGTCTGAATAGTTCCGATTTCTTAACAATAAAATTGTTTTCAGAAAGAATTTGTGCGTGTGTGTGTGTGTGTGACGTTATACACCAATTTTTATACACGAAATCCTTCAAAAAACATCAACCTCAAGATTCCTCTTCAAACTTTTCCAGATCGCCGCTTCGACAAATCCATCCGATTGAACACAAAGATCCCAGAAAACATCTTTAAATAACAAATATGTTATATAATACTTTTAATTAGTTTTTAAGTTTAATTTGCAACGTAACATTTATTATGACCGTCTGTTCCGTTCACTTTTTTTGTAAAACAAAAAAGAATGAGAAAAAGCAGCCGTGCGTCAAACTGAGGCCAAGAGTCCCATGTGTGAGTAATAATTTTTTAAAAATTTTGAAATTTATGCGCGCTAAAAAATTTCTAGCGCACGCGTGTTTGCGCGTTGCGCATGCTCGCTTCGCGAATGAACTCTGTTGACATGACAGATTTTCTAACCCTCGGAAACGTTGCTTTTTTTCCCCAAACTCTCGGAAGGAATTTATGTGTGAGAAATATTATGTAAAGAAATTCGAACGCCAAGTTGGAGACGTCGAGCGCCTGATCGAGCGCCTCCGACTCGTGGGTGGAAGACAAAAAATTTTCATCAATCAAAAACTTTTTACCTGGGAGTGACAATTTTTTCGCACTCTTCTTCTATGATTTTTATCAAGATCCAGAAGCGGTTGGCCGTGAGATAATTAAGATGAAGACTTTGAACAACGTGAATGTACAAAAAGCAACAGGTAACGCTTGATTACGATTTTACATTGTTGAAGTTTGGTTCATTGTTTGGCAAGAAAATTTATAATCTGACATCTTTTATCTATCATCTGATCTGCAGTGAAGTTGCAACGTAATTGTCGTGGGGTGCTGAAGATTCACCTGTGTCCTCAATGCGGATCCAACTTCGATCGCGCCTCCCAACTTGACTATCATCATCGAAGCATACATCTGGGAGAGCGATCTCACATATGCCAGATATGCGAAAAGGGTTTCTTTCGCAAGGCTGACTTGCGTACCCACTTGAACATCCATTTGGGAACAAACTTTTACATATGCGAGGTCTGCGGAAGGAAGTTCAGTCACGTGTCCAATCTCATAAGGCACTGCAGAATGCACACAGGTAAATTATCAAAACATGTGTGTGACAACTAGAGAGATAAAGCAAGGTGCCATTGTTATTTTTGCTCGCGCACAGGAATCAAGCCGTACTCGTGCTCCATTTGCGACAAGCACTTCACGCAAATTTCCTCACTGGCAAGACACAAACAAATGATACACGGAATACCAAAGGAAACCGCGCAGCAGTGTTGCAATCCTAGTCTCATAAAGAAACATCAGTCACAATCCAGCAACGAAGTATTGAAAGAAAATAAGGTGACGAGAATTGCCAAGAGAATTGTTGAACTTTTTTGTTTGTTTAACCCTTTGCCCTCGAGGCCTTTTTCGCTTGCGCTAACCAGCAACTCGAGACGGTTTCAGCCAAATTCGGGGAACACTTTACAAATGCTTTAAAGACATTTATAAGCAACGCCGCTCGAGTTTCTACTTCAAATCGGCCGGGCGCCGTATCGGCGCCGCTCGAGTTGCCACTTCAAATTGGCCGGGCGCCGAATCGGCGCCGCTCGAGGGCAAAGGGTTAAATGAACAGGAAATGTGTGATAACTTATTTTTTTTTTATGCAGGATCAGTTTGCTGAGATCGCCGAAAGACTTGGATTCATTGACGTGTCGATGAACAAAACAACTGCTTCAAACAACCCCGTTTACGATACATTCAACAATCACGAACAGCAATTCAAGGACAACAAAGTTCCCACAAGTAATTCCGAGAAGGACAATTTTACGTATTTTTTTTTACCGCGAGATAGAGGGCCCGATGCGGATCACGTTCCGAACGACGAAAACACATTGGGAACGTGTTACGCGAACGCGTGTACGGTTCAAGAAACTTGTAAAGACACTTCGATCAGTAATATCGAAGTGAACTTTCATCTCGCCAACGAGGTGTCGGAACCAAAATTTCTACACAAACAAACGGAAGTTATTGATGAAGACAAGAAGTGCAACAAGTCGTTCAACGAAAATGCCGCGGATCAAATGCGCGCGGAACTTTCTAACTCGGGAATATTGAAATTTGACGAGTCCAGGTACTGCAGCGACGCGAACAAGGTAAATCACTTCGATCACGGAATGAGGTCCCAACATTTTGTAAATATTGCCGATGTAACGTGTACTCCCGCAGTCGCGCAAAATCAGAACAATTTGCCGCACGATGACAATCCAGACGGTTTCGGTAACTCGAGCAACGTGGTGCTAAACAACGAGGAACCGATGTTGCGTTTGGTGCAGACCGAGACCGGCGAACAGTTTTACGAATTTGTGATAAGCAACTTGGTGGAAAAGATACAAAACGCGGCGAAGGACACGGAGAACAAGATCGACGAATCGTCGAACAGTTCTGGAGACTCTCGCGAAAAGATTGTCGCGAATTCGAAAGAGATTTTGGAGAAAAATGATCATCATCATCATCATCATCATCAGATCGATCAGCAACAGGATTTGGAAAGTTTTACCGACGAGTTTAATTACACGCAGTTTGATTTTCACGGAGAGGAAAAGAACTTCACCATTCTGTGCGACGACGAGTCGCACGAAAATTTTCAACGAAATCCCAAGGATAACGAATGCGGGACGCAGGACAGAAATGGCATGCAGGTCTACAAGTCCGAGTTTATGGAACTGCTCGAGAACGACTTGCACGTGGATTTTGACAAGTACGTCGAGACGAATCTGGAAGCGTTCGAGAAACTTAGTTACGAAAATTGCAACAGATTTCTGGAGCTCGTGGAGGTCGCGGATCTCGGTATAGAATCGTCGGAGTGCAAGGAGTCCTCGATGATAAGATTGATACAAAATGCGGGCGAGCAGCTGTTGGAATTGTTTCAGGATTCCCAAGCGGTCGAGCAAGATTCGAGCCAGGATTTCGCGCGATCCAACGATCTCGACAAAGACTGTTCGAATATTTTGCTTGACGGCAATAAAACATCCGATTGTCCGAGGACCAAGCCCGACCTGTTCGCGGGCTACATCGAAGACAACGTGACGTTGGAGGAAAATGTAAATAGCAACAAAGCGACGGACAACGTCAGAGAGCACGCAAACGGCAACGATCCTGCCGATGTGACCGGCACAAACAATGACGAGAACAGCGTCAAAGTGTCCGAGGAAACGAAGAAGTCGAAGGTCGCCTTGAAGAAGTTTCAGTGCTCCGAATGCAAGAAAGCATTCTCGACCGCCTACAACTACAAGCAACACATTGGCATACATTTCACGGATCAGCAGAAGTTTCACTGCAAGACCTGCGGAATATCCTTCGCCTGGAAGTCTACCCTGAACAAACACATCGCGAACGTCCACAGTCCGGACGGGCCGCAAAAGTTTATCTGTGATATTTGTCCGAAAGTTTACAGCACCTTGTCACAAGTAAACGTGAGTGCGTCTGATCTTAATTGAACGTAATCAACGAAAGTAAACATACAATGTTGCAAATTATAAAAATTATTACAATTAATTTATATATCAACAAGAAATATATAAGGCCTTACGAGCCATTCGCAGGATGTTTGTGCGTGTACGTATATATATATGCACATGTAACGAATTCTACTTGTAAATTTTTACAAGTGAGTGTTTTTTTGAATTGAAATCTCAATTCTTAAATCACTTACTTGTAAAAATTTACAAGTAGAATTCGTTACATGTGTATATATACAGGGTGTCCCAGAATTGCCGTACAATCTCTCGTAGGCAGGTAGAAGGAGTAAAACTGAGTCGAAAAGTTCTGGATTTCATAATCATTGACGTGCGCCTGGCTAAAGGTCTACGCTGATTGGCCTGATTTACTCAATAATTACTCCTTTATTATAAATAATAGAAAAAAATGGTTCAGGACTTTTCGACTCAGTTTTACTCCTTCTACCTGCCTACGAGAGATTGTACGGCAATTCTGGGACACCCTGTATATATATGTACACGCATAGTGGAGGAAAACAACAAATACTAGAGGGAGGAGGATGAGAGAAGATGTGTATTCTGTGAAATAGGTAAAGATGAGTTAGAACACTATGTAAGATGAGTGTATGTATGCAAAGGAATGGTTTATAAGTTTAGGCGCGGATAAAAAGGAGAGATTAGATAGGATATGGGATGATGATTTACGGCCGATTTCTTCATACCTCTCGATAGCTATCCTCTGGATAAATTCTTCTGAGAACCAATAAGGAGAACCAATTTTGGAAGATATCTTCTAGATAAAGTTATCGAAAACTTATCTAGAAGTGAAAAAATTGGCTGTTAGAGAAGAATAAAAGAGAGATTCTGGAGAGATTATGGAAGGAAAAAGAGAAAAGAAAAAGGGAGTTGGAAAGAAGGAAACAAGAGCTAAGATGAAAGGGTTCTTAAGAGTAAGAGTAAGAGTAAGAGCAATATAATTCAATGATTAATAAATATTTTATGATTTAGGTGTAGGTGTATATATCCAGAGTAGCTTAGGATAAGGATAAAAAGATTAAAAAATAGAATAAAGATAAAATAAAATAGAAAATAGAGAAAGAGGAAATAGAAATAGGAAGAAAAGAAGAAGAAAAAAGAAAAAGAAGACAAAAATGTAAAAAGGCAAAGGTAAAATGTAAAAAGGCAGAAAGGAATAAAGCTATAAAGGTACAAATGTATTTAAGGCTAAGGATAAAAATTGGTTTTGATTTAATTAATTTAATTTAATTTAACTTGATTGGAGTGGAGAGAATTTAAAGGAATTGTAAAAGTAAGTGTAAAAATAAGCGAGAAGTAAGGTGGTATGTAACGTATGGAAGGATGTGTGAGAGTAGACTTATTGTAAACCAAGTCCCCTCCTTGTGGCCATACAGGCTGAAGTGTCTAAATCAATTATATATATGTACACGCGTAGTTTCCGCAACAAACATCCTGCGAATGGCTCGTATCGGCCTTATTATATTTCTTGTTGACAATTTCAAACGAGCCTCAAGTCTTAAATTGTTTAATTTATAATATATGTTTTCAGGAACACGTGAAGCGGGACCATTTGAAGCAGCGCGACCACATGTGTCTGCATTGCGGCAAGTGTTTCTTCAAAAAGTTCGACCTGAAGACTCACAGCCGTACGCACACGAACGAACGTCCTTACGCGTGTCGCGTTTGCGGTCGCAGTTTTCATCATCAGAGTCACATAATACGCCACGAGCGCACGCACTCGAGCGAGAGACCGTTCGCGTGCGACGTGTGTCAGAAGACGTTCGCCCAGTCGAACTCGCTCAAAGCTCACAGACGTAAGCACCGACCGAAGCAGATACGCGTGGATTTTCTGGATTGTCAACTGGACGAGGACGATCCCGTCGCGCTCGCGGCTTGTTGAGGGAACGCCAACGTGAAATAAATAAACAAACGTATATATTCATCGCTCGTCCAAGCGCTTGAATATATACAGTCCTTAGATAGTTTATACAATCTTATTGAAATAAGTTGTTATCGTCGCAATATATTATTTTTTTATCCCAACCGTTTGACTCGCGAGAGAAAAGGTGTTTCTTTTATAGAATAAATCAATAAATCTCGCGTCGAGAGTTTTTCTCCAGCTCCTGTAAACAGATTTGTATAACATTGTACAAAAAAAACACACCGTGAGAAAGAGAGAGTATATATTTTATATTATAACACACTCTTCTGTTTGTATATTAAATATATTTGTGCGATCAACCCCGGGGGTGGCGGGGGGGAGGAACGAGAGAAAAAAAAGGCGAAGAGGACGGGGTTCGAAAAATTGTATCGGCTTCGAACAAACGCGAATTTGGCGCGAAATCGAGCGATAAAACGCCTTTTTTTTTTTTTGGCGAGCGGGGAAAAGCGATTTGCGCGTTTGGCACACCTGGCGGCGACGGCGACGAGGCGGGTGGCACGCCTTTCGTTACGAAAACCGAATATAAAATTGAAAATAAAAATAAAATTCGCGAGAAGAGCGCGTGCGATATATTTCAAAAAAAAAAAAAAAAACACGCAAGCATCGGGGACAAAATTCCAATTGACCGATCGATCGGTTACGTCGACGCTACCGATCGATCGATCGGTATCGCTCGCGTACGCGAACGATCAATTTTAATAAAAAAAACATTCCGTCCTCTCGCGGCGCGAGATTATTTTCAACGCCCGTTATTCCCGGGAGGAGGAGGTTTCCACGTGCTCGCGAACGACGACGACGATTTGTCGCGGAAAAACCGATTTCGCCGCAAAACCGCGATAAAACCGCGCGTCTAATATTATGGCGTGACTCACGCACGCACGCCGTCGCGATTCGTTCGCGCGAAACGTCAGGCCCTTCCTCTGTTCTTCGTTTCGTCGCGACGGTCACGCTGCCGCGCCTCGCCTACCGGACTCCCGTCCCCCGGTGTCTTCGGGACGAAATCCAAATAAAAAAAAAAAAAAAGAAAATTCCGCATTTCCGTGCGCGCGAAGGCCGATCGGAGCGTGAGGGAGTCTCGCCGTCTTCTAATAATTTTTCCCGTTCCTATCTAAAGTCTCGCGCGAGATCGCACGTGCGAGTCTCCCCCGCGGTCGAGGCTCGATAATCACGCGACGACACACACACACACACACACGCGAAAGTCCTTCTTTTTCCCAGCGGGCCGTCCCTAACCTCAAACGCACGCAAATTTGCGACAAGTCAGCCCGAGTGGTCGGTCGCTGTCTCCGTCTCTCGCTCCTGGGTCCTTCTCTCTCGTCCCCGAACGAACGAGAGGATATGTCAGTTTAACGCGGACGATAAAAAAAAAAACGGGTCTCCGATTACGTTGGCCGTCGCGGCTTTATCCACATCGGGGGTTCAGACGCACGTTCGATTCGATATTTCTTAACCAATCTCACGGATAGGTAAGAAGATCTTTCTCTCTCTCTCTCTCTCTTTCTCGTCGCTTTGTTTACCGGATTTTACTTTTTTATTCCGCGACACGCGTAACGACGATGCGAATTTCCGCATCGCATTTCCGTCCGTTTCGTATCGTCGCGTAAATAAAAAATCGCGACGTCACAGTGGCAGTTTTTTTTTTTTTTCTTTCATTTCGCGCATCTGTCAATAAAAAGTCGATCTCCTCCGCTTGAAGGAGTAATGTTAATTAATAACTACGTGTGTTTTTCTATAAATGTTTACAAGTCTGTGTGCGACACGGTCACGTCATTCTCTCATTGTTTCTTCGCTCCTTGTCATCGAAAGTGCTTGTTTTTTGGTCGCTTTCGCGTAAATTTGTTTTGTTTATTGCATCTTGTATTTGTTTTTGTTTTTCAAACGTATCCTTGAGTTTGTTCTTGCTCCCCGCTCCTTATCTAAGCAAATATATAGCTTTGCGTTATAGAGCATTGTTGCAACATTGAGATAACTAAAGCCTCGCGTTGAGAAATATCTTATAGACAATTGAAGTTTGAGGAGATATAAATTGAAATTGTTAATAAACCCCAAACGACGCAACAGATATTATGTAATTCGTAAGCTTTGTTAACGGTATGTAAATTTTTGTATTCTAGCAGAAACAGAAAGGAATGCCACGTAGCAAACGTAGGGGGCCTTCGAGCACAAACCACAATCACACTCCAATTGATATGTCGGTATCGGGCGCACACGAAGACAGTTTACCTAGGCATCCATCCAAACGACTAAGACATACCTCTAGGTATTCATTTCAAACTTCTGTTGTTTCAACAAAATATTTACACAGAACAATGGCTCTTAGACACAGATGTAGAGGTGATAAGATTTTAAACTTTGTTTATTATATAAAAGTAAAAGTAGGAAGAACGTTTTTTCGACCTGTGGTTTAGGTCATTTTCAATACAATCTAAAAGTGTAATAATTTATATAATATATAAAGGGAGCGCAAGTTTATAAAAAAGGTCTAGTTTAATGGACTTACAAAAAGTGCTGGCAATTAACGCCGGTGTCTGTTTCATATTACCACTTACTCTTGTTGTAAACAGACACACACACACATTTGTACCGTCTGTAATAAGATTCTTATATACATCACAAGTTAAAAAAAAAAAAACTAAGAAACGATGTACAAGCGCGACACAACAACAGTTTGCCAACGCGAACGTATCATATTTTTATTACAGCGCGCGACGATACACGAGAACTGACGATGTGTCCAGTGTGTCCGCGTTTTCTCAAAAACGCTGCATCACTTGGTTCAGAGAATACACCTCGCCGGATGATCCGGACACGCTCGGGCCTGAGGGAATGGAAAAGTTTTGCGAAGACATCGGCGTCGAACCGGAGAACGTAGTAATGCTCGTTCTTGCGTATAAAATGAACGCTCGCCAAATGGGCTTTTTCACACTCAGCGAATGGCTGAAGGGTTTCTCGGAACTTCAGTGCGATTCCATTATTAAAATACAACAAAAGCTCGAGTACCTAAGAAATCAACTAAACGATCACATTACGTTTAAAGGCATATACAGATATGCTTACGATTTTGCCAGGGTAAGTAGAGAGGAGAGAGGAGAAGACAAACAGGTGTGCGATAAAAAAAAAAAAAAAATATCTTCCGTGCTGCTTTGTTTGTTTGTTTTTTCTTTTAATGTTTTTTTTGTTTGACCTCAGCAGGATAAAGATCAACGAAGTATGGACATGGAAACCGCAAGAGTGATGTTACAGCTGCTTTTGGGAAAACATTGGCCATTGTTTACACAGTTTGCTCAGTTCCTAGATCAATCTAAGTACAAAGTGATCAATAAAGATCAATGGTGCAACATTTTAGAATTTTCACGTACAATCAATCACGATTTATCTAATTATGATTTAGACGGAGCGTGTAAGTCCGAATGAATAAAATGCTGCATTTTTTTTTTTTTTATTATAACGACAGATTATTTTATAACGTGTATTTTGTCACGTGTCCTAACGCGCGATTCTTTCAGGGCCAGTAATGCTTGACGAATTTGTTGAGTGGTTAAAACTTCAGCGAGGCGAGGGAGCGATATCTACAGAAACAAGAGGCAGCTGAAACCTCTTCTAAGAATAGTCCCAATGAACTAAGAATAATTTGTTTTTTTTTTTTTGTTTTTTTTTATCATGATGTTCTATTAATAACAAAATTTCTGTTCATAAAAATCGTATTCTCACAGTTTCAATTACATAGTTCAACAAAAATTAAATTGTTTTCACACGTTCTACGAAGAGAAAGAAAGAAAGAGAGAGAGAGAGAGAGAGAGAGTAATCGTTTCTTGTACTTATAAAAAATTGTAAATTATTAATTTACTAACTCTAGCTTGTTCGCAATCTTAAGATTCTGATTTTTTTTTCAAATTTAATAATGTAATATATATATATATACGAGAACGTTTCTGAAATTAAAAACACAATCGTCAAGAATGAAAAGAAGCTATGGGTTGATAAATTAAAATTTATATAACTTAATTGTACAAAAAGTTATATTTAAAAAAATTACCAATGTGTCTATTTAAAAATTTAATAGTTTTAATAATAAAAAATTAAATATAGTAGCTCTTTTAAAGCTTTGTAATTTGTTAAATAGAACTGACAATTTTTTGGAATTAATTTGTTGAAAAAAAAAAAAAAATATCGTGTGTTGCAACAACACGTCACGTATTTTATTTGTTTCGACTTTTAATCACGGATCGTGAACAGAAAAAAAAAGTGCCGAAGTGTTTTTCTCACTTGTTCGATGTGGCAAGTGCTTTCGGGAGTTGCTGAGCAGAGATTTGAAATTTGTAAAGTTTGTCGAAATTCCCCAAATACTTCGTTTCGAACAATAAATGTTTGTTTTGAGTTTTGTATGTATGTTGTTTTTTTGTAAAGTTCTTATATATATATATAATAATAATTGTGGTTGTTATAAAAACCGAATCTGCTTTTAGCAACCTGAGAAAAGCTTATCTAATGTTTGTCTATGTGTAGATCGAGAAAACGAGAAATGATTATTCTCTCGAGTGTGTTTTCGCCGGATTATGTTATAAAACACATATATTCACGCTATTTTTTTATTAAACTCTAATTAAGCGGTGAACTCTACGCTGTGCCGGAAGTATTCTCGCTTAGAGATTTTGGCTGCAATTAAGAAAGAAATGTTAGATTGCTTAACCGTTCATCGTGTGTGTACGTGCCGCCAGTTCTTTCTCTTCGAGCAGCCCACACGATTTCTTTTACCATTAGAGAACTTCGAATCTCACATTTATAAACTTTTCATTGCGACGAATTACGTGTTTCAGCATAGCGCAGAGTTCATTGTGCTAATGTAAGTAGCTCTTACCTTCAATATAATTTGCAATATCACTTAAAGACTCGTTTGAAAAATCCTCATTTCAACGCTCTCGGTTTACTTATCACGCCAACTTTTTAGTTGTTTCCAGAAATTTGTCGCAGAAAAAAACACTCTTGTGATTGCAAATAAAATACTATTTTGATATAAGGTTTACTTGTGCAATTTGTAAACAATTAATAATTTGAGATATCAAATTCGAGATGATGATAAGTGAGTTGGGCTAAAATATGGCGTTTTTCGAACTGAGTGAACACATTTCACGACGATGATTGCCATTTGACTTCCGGTGATTGTAGACTGCACATTTCGTAATTGCAAATTAAAAACAAAACAAACGTTTCTTATTACGTACTTCTTTATATGTGTGTGTGTGCGTTGTTTTCTCTTGTGTTAGTTATATTATTTAAAAATAAATTTATACAAGCTCTACAAGCCACCTTCCACCCCCCCCGTAACGACTTTCACATTCCACGTCACTGAGTAATAAATCGAAAAACTTGAAAATTGTGTAATTTGGAATTCGCGCGGTGTTTGCAAATCTTTGTGGAACAGATTTTGCGTTGAAGTATTTTCAGTAAACTCTTTGCGCGTCCGTTGTGAACAAAAAAAACAATCTTTTTACATGTAATTTTGATTTTTTCTGTTTTTTGAAGAAAAAATTGAGTACGTATGAAAATATTGTCAATGAAAAATACATTGAAAGAAGTACGCAAAAATATTACTAAGTAGGAATAATTGGTGAGATAATCCATACATTATGCAGGTGCTACTACACAACGTTTAGTACTTTAAAGGCAGTTTAAAAGTGTCAATATCATCATGTGCTATTTAGTCAGAATTAAAGAATTCTGGTAAATGTGTGCTAAAAAAAAAAAAAAAATTATTGAATGTACGTTAGAATTAACAAAATCTTATTAAAACCAAAAAAAAACCCACGATATTTATTACATACGAGTATATATTTCTCAATCTCTTTCAAAAAAAAAAAAATAAAAAAAAAACAACTTATTGATATATTTACAATTTATGCTTTATCGAATTAAGGAAGATTTGTTAAACGAAATAAATATGTTTTGTAAACGATTTTATTTGTAAAAAAAAAAAAAAAAACTTCCACTAATTAATCTCTGTCCGTATCGATTTTAGACGTCTTTGTTTTTCATCCAGTAGTCTTAATGTATGTATATATACATCAAATTGTTACCAACCCATTCAATTTCTGCGACTATCTTCAATATTTCGAAAATTTTGAATTTTAAAAAATATATATATATATATACATAAACCACACATTCTTACATCGACACATTTTCGCGACAATTTCGAAACCGATGTATATGATGAATTATATAAGACAACTATGTAAAATATATTAGTTTGATAAAATGCTAATCGCTTCTATTTAATAAAATTGTGAAAACTGGCTCGTCCTATGCCGGTGAAAAGCGCGCGCGCGCGCGCGTATGTGTGTGTGTGTGTGTACGTATGTAAATGTGTGTGCGTGCGTGTGTGAGAAAATTAACATTGAAAATCACGTCGAAAATAAACGACACACACAAGAAAGAAATCAACAATTGACAATATTAAGGAATTTAAAACATTCGGTTGTTAAATTAAAAAATTTCAATCAATTCGAGAAAACATCTGCGTGTGTATATTTCTTCCGTGTGTATATGTTACAATTTTATTGTAAAGAATGCAACAAGCCATACTGTGTAACTTTCTTCTTATAGTTTCTAGATACAACAGACAAAAAAACGTATCTGAGGAGGATATATTCGTTGATTAAATTTGTAAAAAATTGGCACGTGCCGCAAAAAAAAGAAGTTAGAGAGAGAGAGAGAGAGAGAGAGAGACTTGGGTGTGAGAATTTGCAATTTGTTCGAGATCGCTGCAATGTTACTGCCACTTGGAGAATGTAATGTATCGGATGATAAGGAGCGAATAAAATACCTTTTTAGTACTTTATCATTCTCTGATCGCTGATTCTTATAATTAACATTGTAGATAATATGTTGACAACACAGAGAGACCCTGGAAGAGTCTTTTAATCCGTAAGTGTTTTTAATTGTATAAATAATACACGCAATTTTTATTCGATATTTAATACACATTTTTTTTCCAGGGCGTTGCTTATGTACACTACGTGAGAAAACAAATTATATAAAAAGACTCTCTTAAGTTCGATAAGAGAAATAGAAGGAGACAATATACTTATTTAAAAAAAAAAAACTAATGTTTCTATTTTCTACGCTGTAAAAAAAAAACTTATATTGACCAAATATCTCACTTCGCTCGCAGTTTTCGATCGAGTGAAGATCACGAGAAAAACTGACACTGTCCTAGAGTAAAGATAGAAATACTGGTGACAGTAAGCGCGAGACATAGATATCTGCCTTTAATCGGTATTCGAAATAATCTAGCGCACATTCTCAAGGATGACGAGTACAGAAGTATGCTGTCGAGATCCTCTCCCGGGGTGGACTGATAGACGAACGGTCGTATACGTATCTCGTGTCCCACGGCTCGGATCATGGAGCAAGCGCTTGTTAAGCGCGCAGCCTGAATAAAGCATAAAACATGGTCAAAGAAAACAGTCCAAAGACAAAGACACACGCGTAACAAGACGCACCTGTATGAACGGAGCTATCGATATCAGGATCCAGAGCGTGACGTTCCACGCGCTGACATTCGTGACCGGATTGTTGTCGTCCGTGTTGTTTACGTAGTACTGAAACAACCACACCGTGCCCGCAATCGCCCAGGATAAATTGACGAAAGTGTAGATGCACACGGCCGGGCCTAAATCGTCATTGAGATATTTCAGCAGCTTCTTGAACTCGTCGATTGCCTGAAAAAATCGCGAACGAAAAGAAATACGTTGAAGTTTTATTCTCTCTGTAAAAAATAGAAAAAAAAAAAAAAAAAGACAATTATTACCCCCAGAAGACACGAACCCTCATCCACTCGATGGGCGGCAGAACGTGTTGGAGCAACTTCCCGCGTAGGAAGTAAAGATGCGACATCAACAGCTGACCCTGCAGACAGTAACTCGTTATTATGGTGGCTTGGACCATGTCGTGCCACAGAGTGCAGATGACCAGAAGCACTTTCAACGCCGTCTTCACTTGACCAGGACTACAGAGAGAGAGAGATAGAAAAAAAACACCAAACTTAATTTTTTTTCTACACGGCAACGTTTGAACATCTCACGTGTGTGTGGGAAGACACGCGTCGATCGATCCAACGTCTCTCACCTGTTCTCCATCCACTGAAATATGATATTTCCCTCCGCCATCTGAATGTTCATCGTGACCAACGCCATGATCATCCAAACTATGCTCAAACCTACGAACAGCCATAGTATGTGCACAAGACGCTTCTGATTGCCGCGATTTATTGGATTTGTCGAGAGCAGAAACGCTCTCTCCATCAGATTTTGCAACTGCTCGTTCTCCCTGATGCGAAACAGATATATCGTGTACAAGTAAGCAACCAGATGCAACACGCTCGGTATCAGATAACTGAATATCATATTTCCGCTGCACAACGGCTTTTGCGTGTCCTCGCCTTTTAAATTCGGCAGGCCTTGATCCGCCGACACCAATACCTTGTAACAGAATCCCCGATCTCTCCTGAAAATTGTGTTGTCTGAGATTTATCAGTTGTGATCAACTCAGGTCGGATCAAACACTATACGAAGTTAGGTTTACCTGAAACAAGCCATGTACTGTAAGATGTATCCGATACATATAAATAAAGTGACCTGCGTGGTGTGGAGATTCGCCAAAATCATACAACGCAAGGAATGATCGGAATCGTCGCTGCTGGTCGGCCTCAATCCCATCACTCCCAACAGTCTCAGATACGGTCTCAGTATCTTGTGCTTGCAGTAGTGAAGCACCGCCGACGTGCTGATAAAGTTTTCATAATCCTCCGTGATGTCGCCCATCTGCTGCACATCGTCAAAGTTTTTTGTCGGCAATTAATTCGCCGATCTCTTAATTTTTCCAAAAAAAAAAAAAGAAGTCGACTTACGCCGTTGCTTTGAAAAGACAAACTTGTCGACGTTGTTATGCTCGCGACCACGGACGCCATGGGTTCCGTATGTTCTCCGTGATCCTCGTGATTTCGTTTCGACGGATCCTTGCCATTCCCGGTCTTCTCAGTCGGGGAGAATTCACCCGCGAATAATCTTTGCATCTTCGAGATTTACAAACACACACGCGAGAATAGATCTCGGATTATCGCGCGGGGGGAGGGATTTGTTTACATCAAAATCTCAAAACAAAATAGTCCGCGCGATAACTCACTTGAATTTTGCGGCCGTCATTGTTGCGGCACGAGAGAGGTAGAGTTTGTATTTGAATTGTGATTATCGTATCTCAGTACGCGCGCGCCGAGCGACGACGATTACAACAAGATTACGTGTGCGATTTGGGAGCAAACGAATTTATCGTGTCTCGATTTTAAATCTAAGTTACAGTAAACCGCAACGCGCACACACGCACGCACTCACTCACTCCAACGCCATTTGGAGCTTCTCGCCGGATCGTAACTGTTCTTGAACTTCGGAAAAATACTTTTATCAACAGTCAGATAATGGACGGCTGTAAGTGGACTCTTAATTATATCGGTTTTCTGATGACATTTCACCTTCGCTCGGAGATATCCGTGCGCGCGTCCGCCGAACTAAGCGAACCAATCGTTCGTTGTATATTAATTACAGGAATTCAACATATCAGACACACCAACGAGCTTCGATATTTTACAAGTAAATAAAAAAAACATATATTTACACAATTTTGCTATAGAGATACTTTCGTATATATAAATTATTACTGGAAAAACATTTGTTTTTGCATAAAACAAATTGTTTGAACTGATTTTTTTTTAAATTAATTTTCTCTTCTTGAAAATGTTTCCCACAGGTCGCAACACGTTGTACTCCCTTCTGTGACGTCTCTGTCTCTCCGCGGGTCGGTTTTTCTACACAAAAAAAAAAAGAAAAAAAAACAGAAATTAATACACGCCGACAGGAACGGTTCGATTCGATTGAAGCGAGCAACGTTGGTGGCGATCACGTACCTTCCGAACGACGAAGGTCATCTCTCTGCTGCCGCGCGATCCGTACACCTTCACGTCGTTCGTCCTCTCCCTTGCCAATCTCACCTCGAACGTTGTCCTACAAGAACGAATTAAAAAAACGCGATTAAATTTGGAAATATTTTTCAACAACACTTGAGAAAAACGCTTGGGTATATCTACTTGATCTGTTTTTTCTTCCCCGGCTCGCCTTCCTGGAAGACGAACTTCGTTTCGTCATTTTTCGTTGCTTCCTCCAACTTCGGCTCGTTTATCTCGGAAACATGATCATTTTTCTCCTCGTTCTCCTGTTCCTTGATTCTCTCGTTGCGTTTTATCGTTCGATAATTCTTGCGCATTTCTCTGACCCACAATTTCTCGTCGTCCGAGCTGTCGTCGTCGGAACTGTCGCGTATCAAACTCTCGTCCGAACTGTTATTGCCTTCGGGTGGAAAAAAAAAAATGTAATTGTAAAACCATTTGTTTTTTACACACACAGAGTTGTTTGGATAAATTGGAAATTCTCTTACCTTTTCGTTCATCCGCGTCGAGTTTGTCTCGCGCTTCTTCTTCTTTTTCTTCTTGTGTCAATTTCTTAGCCTTATCCTTGTTAAGTTGAGAAATAACGGGATTCAGCAGAGCGTACTCCTCGGAATTCTTGTCGATCTGGAAATCGGGATTGCTGAAGAGATCTTTGAATCGCTCGTCGTTCAGCAGATTCGACGACGCTTGTTTCTTCTTGTTCTTCGCGTTTTTGTTCTCCATCAGCTTCGCCGCCAGCTCCTGATTCACATTCGGCAACTTCTGGATCTGTTTAAAAAAACCAACGAGTTGTAAGAAACGCGTCGAATTTTAGCTCTGCCTCAAGTTAACGTGAAATGATTAAAAACTCGAGACTTGTACCTGCACTCTGCTGGCGGCTTCCTCTCGGATCTTCTCGCGAATCTTCCTCTTCTTGTATTCTTCGAATTCGAACGGTTTCATGACGTCTCTCGCTTTTCTGTAAAGTCGAATGTCCATGAAGTAACCGTGCATGTAAGCTCTGAGCAAATTGGTGCCCTTCAGATGCGCAAGATCCAATTCCTCCAGTTCTTTCTCGGTCACGAATTTGTAATCGTCGTAGATAATGTCGTAATTCAGTTCTTCCAGTTCTTCCGTGAGATTGTCGAGAAAACTGCACCAGTAGGGCGCGGGCCCGAGACCGGGAATGTAATAACTTTGCATCTTTTTGGTTTCGTTAGCCATCAGCAGCATGCCGGTGTTCGGTATGACGCACAAATCATTGAAGTCGTACTGAGCTTCTATCGAAGTATAAAGTTTGCCCTAAAAAAAAACACGCACAAAATTTTTTTTTCTTTTTATAAATTTTAACAAACTAGTTAGTTAGTTAACAAGAACAAAAAACACAAAAAGTCTAACACTCACGGTATCTTTTTCCCATATCTTTACAATGGAACTGTCCATGGAGTAAACGAGATCCATTTTCTGATGGAAATCGATGCATTTGATCGGCAATCCGTACATGTGGTCCTTCGTGTAAAACGGTTTATTGGATCTTATATCGTACAGCTGCACTTGTCCCGTAGATGTGCCTACTCCTAGATGCAAACCGTCTTGAAACTTCAACGCGGTGACCGCAGAAATAGCGTCCAAACTAAGTAAGAAAAAAATAAAAATCGATTACATATCGATCTTTAAGGCTGTTTTCGATACACACACAAATTCTTGTATCCTACTTGTTTTGAATACAATTGAGAGCACAATCGAGCGTGCCTACTTTGCTTCTCGCTCTCGGATCCCAGGCTTCAACTTTTCCTTCTTGAGTACCGACTATGAGCAGGTGATGCACCGGATTTATCTCACATTTGTTTATCGACGATGCTTCCGATTCAAACGATTGTAAAAATTGACCACGTTCAAGATTTATTCTGTATATGTGATTGCTGTATCAAAAATTATCTTGTTTATTTAACAGATAAAATTATATATAATTATATATTATATATAATATATAATTATATATAATATAA